AAGGAAGGAAGGAAGGAAGGAAGGAAGGAAGGAAATAAGGAAGGGAAGGAGGAAGGGAAGGAGGGAGGGAGGAAAGAAAAAAAGAAAAAGAAATTAATGACATGAAAGACCAAAGGATTGTTCCAGATTAAGAGATCCTATATGGGTGACAAATAGATTCAATGCCTGACCCTGGATAGGTTTTAGGACTGGAAAAAAAAATTTGCTGTAATGACATTATTGGAACAATGGATGAGTTGGAATAGGTACTGAAGATAAGATTGTTGTATTGTATGAATTAATATTTCCTGAATTTGACAACTGTACTTTGGTTGTGTAAGAAAATGGAAACATACACAAAAGTATTTAGGGATAAAGCACATCATGCCTGCAGTTCCCTCTCAAGTTTCAGGGAAAAACAATGAAAGAAAGAGATGATGATCTATCAAATGTGGCAAAATGTTACAGAGCTTGTGGCTCTGAGGAGAAGGTTTGAGGGAGTTCTTTCCACTTTCAAATTATCTGCAAGTTTGAAATTATTTCAAATAGAAAGTTAAAAAAAACAGGTAGGAGGAAACTGTAAGGGGAAAAATGTTGATCCTTCTTTCTAACACCTAAAAATCACCATCGTTGTTTTGGGGGAAAAAACGGATTTAGAACTCTATACCCCCGCTTCCAAATGTCAAGACAGGTTGTGGTGAAGGGGTAGGTAGTGAAGGGTACGTAGAAGCCAGTTTGCTTGGGGGAGCTTGTTTGGGGGAGCAGGGTGTGTGGTCAATGTTGCAGCCTTGGGAAGGGTTAACTTGGACAGTTCAGGATTCAGACTAGAGCCATTAGTAGCTGAAGGGGGCCCAGGTCACCAGATGTGGAGGGCAGTGCCCATGTCACCATTTCACGTTCCTTCTAAAACCTAATATGCTGATGAGCATGACGTTTTCCCGTTTTTATTCCACTTGTAACGTAGTAATCATATTCAACCTGGTATCCTATAGTAACCTATTTAACATTCAGATACCCACATGGTTCTGGGGAGCAGAGAGGCAGTAATTTTTAAAAGGGAGGGGGAGGGGGGAAGGACTCAAATATAGTAAAATTCTTAAATTTCTCATTATATTCTTATGTTCAAAAGCCATTGCTTAACAAGGAAAGCCACGTGTTTGGTTTGCATTTGGAATTATGCTTTCATGAATATACCTGAGATTCTTTTCTATGGCCTAAACAAATATTGGGTTGTGAAACTGTGACAGGTCTTAATGAAGTGGATTAAGGCATTTCTTACATTGACATTTTCATAGAATGAAATAAACATTGTAATCTTTTTACAGAACACTCTCACATCAGGCCATGATTTTATTTGATACCTGTTCAGAATACCAAGTTTTTGCATTTCTTGAAATGGTAATGTACTTTTGTGAACAAGTTGATAGGACACAAGTCATCCCTGAGTTATTTATAATAGTACTTAGAGCAAACTTGTCAAAGATTCTTCTCAAAGATTATTTTGGATCCCGAGGAGGTATATTTAGTAACTGTATTGAATAAGCTGTCACCTAACACAACATTTCATTGATTTATTTGTATTATTTTTGTATCTCACTGCAGGCAGAGAATTCAGCATTGGCTTTGGAAAATGAAAATCAAAGGGAACAGTATGAGAGATGTCTTGATGAGGTAAGCGGAGTAGAAAGGCTCTTCACAAAAGGCTGAACTATTTAGGATTCCCTTGGTCAGATCTTAATATAGGTCTGTTAGCAGCCTCCACAGAACATTAGCATTTTGATCTCCAAAGGAAGGTTGCAAACATGTATGTGGACACAGAAGGAAGGCCAGCCTCTCCCTCCCTCCCTCTTCCCTTCTCTTCCTATTTCACTGTACAGGCATCTGTAACTTCCTTTTGGTTACTACTTAATATTCTTGTGGCACAGTTGAGGTATGCCTCACTGTATGATAAATTTCTTCCTCCCAGTAAGTGTGATCCCAGCCTGTGAATGAGAAAAGCTATGTCAAGGCACGCTGCATCGCCAGTTGGATGCCGTGTCTGAAAAAGCAGACCCTTGATGTAGTGGGTGGGGATGATGTTCACAGTTGGCAGCCGGAGGGAAAGGATCAGTAGATTGAGAACAAGCCACAAAGAGAAAGGGAAGTGAGGAAGAAAATTTGAGCAGAGTGGAAGAAGACAGAGCCACACGCGTGAGTAAACCCGGTAAGAATTATTTGATGGTAATAAAGAGACAAAGGCAAGGATGGTGGGAAAGGGGAAGATTGAAGAGTGTGTGGGGCCCTCCTTCTCCTCACAGCCATTCCCCTCACACTCCACCCGGGATCATACCCTCAGCCCCCCCTGGATCATCCAACCGGGATTGGCCTTCCACCTCACAGACATGCTCTCATCTGGGATTTTGTTGGCGACTGTGGTTATTACTTTAACGGGATGGCTTTTTTAGTCATCTGTCCAAATAAAGATAAAACTTGCATATATCTGTTGATCTTAAGGGTTGATATGAAATGCTGACACAGGTTTTAAGAAAGTATGAAAAGCTACGTTTAATCGCATTCCATTACCTTACTGGTGGAAACTAGCATATATATCTTCAGTCTTTTCCTCCTCACTAACAATTAGGAAAAATCTTTTCCAAAAAACCCCTCTTGATCTTTCTTCCCCTTCCCCACACTGTCCCGGGAGGTGACGGGTGACTCCATAAAGAACACAGGTTCGAATCTCAGTTATGACATCATTGCTGCCACCTTACACCTTCCCCCCCCCTCCCTCTAAACCCGAAGTGGCCTCTCTCCTCAGAGTTGCAGTTGGGGTTGCTGTTTTCCTCCACTGGGGATCTCAAAATGTGACCCCTGAACCCAGCAGCAGCATCAGCCTCACCTGGGAAGTTGCTAGAAACGCAGATTCTGAGGCCCCACCCCAGACATCCAGACTAAGGGACTCTGGGAGTGGGCCAGCAATCTGTGTGTTCACAGGCCCTCCAAATGACACTGATACACCCTACAGTTTGAGACCCGCTGTCTTCATAGCAGGGACCACCTTGCCTTATGGTTACTGATGTGTGGTTGAAGAACCCTCACCATGTTTCCAGAAAGTTCTTTCATTGTTTAATATTTCTACCCATATGTATTAGTTACTCAAGCAAAATGGCATTTGCAGTACTCTGCCCTGTCAGGACTTAAAAAGACTCAGAATCATCTTTACAAGGCCCCAAATTGAAAGAATAGCTGAAGTAAGTTGACCTAAGTGGGGAACGATGACTCAATCTAGCAAAGCCAGTTTAGCACTTCTAAACCCTGTCCCCCAGGCTCTTGGTCCAACAAAGTTTAGGGCAAGAAAGACCAGATACATCCAAGGATATTGAAAGAAACAGATATTGCCCTTGGGCCATATGTATCGATCAGCCAGGTTTCACTTTAACCTCCTGTACAGAATTTCTGAGAAAACCATATCTGTATTCAGAAGTCAAATTTATGTGAATCACACCATAGAAACTTCTTATCTGTCCCAGTTCTCCCACTGGTCATCCCTCCCCATCACTCAAAAAGCTCACAGCACTTCTTTATGGAAACTCATAGTCTTGTTTTCCATATGCTCCCTCTGCCTGCATGCTGAAGGTTTTGTCGGGATGTGTCGAGCCAACCATAATTTTTCATCCACAGAACCATTTCGCACGGAGTTTCCTCTGAAGACAGAATTTTTAGAGGGAGAGTCCCTCTGTTCTTGATTGCAAAAATTAACTGTTGCCAAAGAGGTGGTTGGCAGCTCAGAACCCCTCTTAGCAGTACAGATGTTTTGTATTCATGATACTGGCCCCTGATTACACATGCCAGTTGTTTTGAAACTAATTGCATGAGGGTAGACAATCCATTTCCATGCATTGTAAGAGAACGTTCTCAAAGGGGTAGTTGAGTGTAGTAATAATGCCAACTGGAAATTGTTTTCAAGGCTTTTTAGACTAATTAGACAAACTAACAAGGTAAGGCCTCGTGTACGTTATTTCCTTGCTAGTGGGTTTCATAAAACATACACAAGTGGGTATAATCTAAATTTAAAATGTGCTTCAATCCCTTTTGCACTGATTGTTATTTTCTGGGAAAAGAAGAACATGTTGAGGATTTGAGAAAAACGCTTGGGAGTAGGAAATCCCCTCTGTGTATTCTTAAAAAGGGGTATGTTTATTAGAAGGACGCAGAGCCACATCCAGACACACACACGGGCTTGCCAGAACACATACATGTCCACACACTTCACCACTTCACATCGCCTCTGCTGCTACCTAGATCCTCATCTCCTTGCCTTGCAATACAAAGGCAACACCAAGGATTTCTTAAGCAGGTTGGAGGTTTTCATGTTTGAGTCTAGTTTCTTCATCTAGCTGTTTGACATACAGTTTGCTAGCAAACAGTGAATTTCTGTTTATTCTCACTAATGCTTTGCCCATAGTTCCTTTAGAACTGACTAATTCCCATGGACAGAAGGATAATGACACATATAAAAATAAGCAAAAGAACATTTTCTCAAACCATTGCCTTACATCTAGATGGATTCAGTCTATCCTATAAGTATTTGTTGGGTGTCAGTGTCACGCAGATCTGGAAAGTCAAGGTGGTCCCAGCCTGGCAGAAGAAGTGAGGGGGATGCTTAATCACAGAAGAATGAAATGAGAGACACTCACACAGAAAATGAGGTGCACTGGGGCCTTTGAGAACATATAAGACAGTCACCAAAGAGCAGGAGAGACTGTGGGTGAGTCAGCAGTGAAGGGGACAAAACTGAAAGGGAATCTTTAGCCAAAGGAGCTGGAGCAGGTGAAGTCCAAGTGATTCTCACCCTTACCTGCACTTCAGAGTTACCTGGGGAGGTTTAAGAATACTGCCAACTGGGCTTCACCTTGGAGATTCTGATCCAATTCTAGTCTAAAGTGGGGCCTGGGTGTTAGAAATTTTGAAGACTCCAGGGAGTTGCAATATTCAGCCAAGATTAAGAACCGTTGCACTTAGGCCCTCTGAATGCTATGCTTTAGAGAACATTTTCAGAAAGTGTCAGTAAGAAGATAGAAGCTCTTCCAAACTTGGATATGATGATAGAATAGCAACAGACCCATGTGGAAATTTTGGGTTATTTCTAGTTCCTCAACAGTATCTGAGCAAGCAAAAAGTAAATCCTGTCAAAGTGTGTTTTTGGGCCCATTCTGCAGAAAGATGTGCAGCAATTGCTAAACATGCAGATGTTCAAAGCACAAAAGACCTCAGATAGCCAAAGAAATCTTGAAAAAAGAAAAACAAAGGTGGAGGCATCATAATTATGGACTTCAAGCTATATTCCAAAGGTGTAGTCACCAAGATGGCATGGTACTGGCACACAAACAGACACATAGATCAGTGGAAGAGAAGAGAAAACCCAGAAATGGCCCCACAACTATATGGTCAACTGATCTTTGACAAAATAGGAAAGAATATCCTAAGGGAAAAAACAGTCTCTTCAACAAGTGGTGCTGGGAGAACTGGACAGCAATATGCAGAAGAATGAAACTAGACCACTTACACCATATACAAAAATTAATTCAGTATGGATGAAAGACCTAAATGTGAGGTCAAAATCCTAGAAGAGAACACAGGCAGCAACCTCTTTGACATCAGCCACAGCAACTTCTCACTCGATACATCTTCTGTGGCAAAGGAAAGAAGCAAAATGAACTATTGGGACCTCATCAAGATAAAAAGCTCTGCACAGCAAAGGAAACAATCAACAAAATTAAAAGGCAACCGACAGAATGGGAGAAAATATTTGCAAATGACATATCTGATAAAGGATTAATATCCAAAATCAACACCCAATATCCAAAATCCAATATCCAATATCCAAAAAGGATTAATATCCAAAATCAACATGTCATTCAGAAGACATGAATAGACATTTTTCTGCAGAAGACATCCAGATGGCTAACCGACACATTAAAAGATGCTCAACATCACTCATCATCAGGGAAATGCAAATCAAATCTACAATGAGATATCACCTCACACCTGTCCAAATGGCTAAAATTAACACAGGAAACAACAGGTTTTGGTGATGATGTGGAGAAAGGGGAACCCTCTTACACTGTTGGTGGGAATGCAAACTGGTGCAGCCAGTCTGGAAAACAGTATGGAGATTCCCCAAAAAGTTAAAAATAGAACTACGCCATGACCCAGCATTTGCACTACAAGGTATTTACCCAGAGGATACAAAAATAAGGATTCAAAGGGATACATGCATCTGGATGTTTATAGCAGCATTATCTACAATAGCCAAAGTATGAAAAGAGCCCAAATGTCCACTGACGATGAATGGATAAAGAAGATGTGGTCTATGTATGCAATGGAATATTAGTCAGCCATCAAAAAGAATGAAATCTTGCCATTTGCAACCACCTGGATGGAACTAGAGTGTATTATGCCAAGCCAAATAAGTCAGTCAGAGAAAGACAAATATCATATTTCAGTAATATGTGTAATTTTATAAACAAAATACATGAACATAGGAGGGAAAAAAGAGAGACAAACCAGAAAGGAGATGCTTAATATAGAGAACAAACTGAGGGTTACTCAAGGAGAGGTTGTAGAGGTAGGGGAGATGGGCTAAATGGGTAATAGGGATTAAGGAGTGCACTTGTAATGAGCACTGGGTG